GGTTTGGGCAGAGGACTGGCAGTAAACCGTCTGCTTTTTTGGAGTCAGCTCTGAGGGTGCAGACAATAGACAGGCTGGAACCCTGGGGAGTCTCTGTGTGCCAGGACCAGGCATGCACAGCAGGCGTCTAGCACGGTTCCCGCCTGAGTGTCCTCCTCTTGTGTGGGGTTCAGTTCCAACACAGGTCTGCTCCTGGGCACCTGCGCTATTCCTCTGAGCAACTGCTTGTTCCCCTAATTTCTCAAAGATACTCACTTCCCGCACACTCCAGCCCTTGTTCCCGTGCGTGACTTCTGTTGCGGCCCTGGGCCTCCATATATGTATTAGCCCGATGTCATGTGGACATGATCAAAGCTTTCTAAGAACCCCCTTGTCTTGGCGCCACCCACGTTCTACTTTTTGGCTTCTCAAGAGGTGCCCAACCTCAGGAACATCCTGTGACCAGCATCACTAAATGCCAGCAGGGCCCCAAGTGTCTCCAGGCCAGTGGACTGGCGCTCAAGGAGTGTGTTTCTGCAGCGGGACGTGCAGCCCACGAGAGCTCAGACCCCCAGGATCCCCCTCCAGGAGCTCGGGGAGGGGCTTATAAGAAACTGTGCAGGTCCCAGCGTGAGTCCCAGCCACATAATTCCCGTCCAAGGGCCAGGCAGCCTGAGATCTGACCCCCTAGGGCTGGCGGGTGCATGTGACGCGGGGCCAGCCCAGCAAGCTCCGGAAGCTGAAGACACAGCCGGTGTCGTGGAAGGAGTAAAGTTCTGGGAGCCAGAGCTGCGGGCCTCCAGTTACGTGAGGGACTGGGGGTTGCGGCGGGTGGTCTTCAAGTTGAAAGAGGTGGTCCTTCCAGCTGTGACAGCCGAGGAAGAAGATTCTATCCTCTTTCCTCGGACCGTCTTTCCAGATGAGTGCAGAGAGGGAAACGCAGGCTGAGAACACACTGCTGACGCTCAGCCACCACGGAGGGGTTCGGAGCACCCAGGCCCCCACTGCTGCCTGGCACAGCGCCCCAGCCAAGGCCACACGATGGGCACAGGACGAATGCCCACCGGGAATGCCCCACACCGTGGCGGGCACGGCCGAGTGGCCTGCCTGCAGGTGGCGACTGCACAGGTTCCTCAGAAGCCTGGCGTTGGTGACACCCAACACCAAGGCCCCTTCGCTGTTTGCTGCTCCTGCAGCTGGGACGGGGTGGGAGGAACCTCCAGGAAGCAGGTCCATCCGGAGGGCTGGGGGCAGCCAGGAGCGGTGATGGGAGCCCTGTCGTTTGCGTTCTGTGAAGGTTGCCAAGACTAAACGCTGAGAACCCCCCACCCGCCTCAGAATTCCCCGTGTTATTTTTTGAGGATTCCTTTGGGCCTCCACGCCGTGGGGCCCCAGCTCAGAGAACAGCCGCCACCACCCCACGTATTCGGGACCACTGTGTGCCAGGCACCGTGCCGGGCGCTACACGTGCTTCCCTTTTCCCTGACAGCCGCCTTGCCAGGCGTCACTAGAAGGTCCATTCTGCAGGTGAGGAAAGAGCCACAGAAAAGTGGGATAACTTGCCCAAGGTCACATGGTAAGTGGCAGAGCCAGGACCCAGGTCTCCGGACACCAAAGCCCATATTCCCTGCCCTCCACCATGTAACTGTAATGTCGCCACACTGATGGGGCGGTCCAGGGACTCCATGCCCACCTCCCACCACACGAGTCGTATGGGTGAGTCCAGGGAAGGAAGGCGAGGGTGGGGGTCCCCTTTCCAGCACTTCTTCACCGTCACCTGGGGGCCCAGTCTCTCAGGCCCCTGAGCACGCAGGGTGACAAAGGAGGAGTTGGTTCCACCAGCCAGAGAGGCTGGAACCTGGGGGCTGTGGGCCTGGTGGACTGGTCTCTGCACTGGGGTCCAAGCTCCTAGAATGTTCAAGCAGGGAGGGTCCTTAGAGATGAGCAAGCTCCCTGCACGTGACAGGTGAGGGAGCAGACCCAGGAGGAGAACACGGATTGCCCAAAGCCACAGAGGTGGTTAGAAGCATTGTGTGTGCATGAGTGTGGGAGTGTGTGCATGAGTGTGTGCGAGTGTGTGCCTGAGTGTGTGTGTGCATGTGAGAGTGTGTGCATGAGTGTGGGGGGGTGTGCCTGAGAGTGGGAGTGTGTGCACGAGTGTGGGGGTGTGTGCATGAGTGTGTGTGAGTGTACATGAGAGTGGGAGTGTGTGCATGAGTGTAGGAGTGTGCACATGAGTGTGTGAGAGTGTAAGAGTGTGCATGAGTGTGTGACAGTGTGTGCATGAGTGTGGGAGTGTGTGCGTGACTGTGGGAATGTGTGCATGAGTGTAGGAGTGTGCACATGAGAGTGTGAGTGTGTAAGAGAGTGTGCCTGAGTGTGTGACAGTGTGGGCATGATGTGGGAGTGTAAGATTGTGTGCATGAGTGTGGGAGTGTGTGCGTGAGCGCATGTGCATGAGTGTGCATGAGAGTGAGAGCGTGTGCATGTGCATGAGAGTGTGTGTATGAGAGTGAGAGAGCGTGTGTGCACGTGTGCATGTGTGCACACCTGTGCGCCTGCTGGACCTGGCGGTGGGCCCGACTCCCAGGCCCTATGCGTGAGCCCTGGTGAGAAGGCTTTGAAGCTTCCATCCATAGCAGAGGGGCGGCCCACAAACAGGCCCACACAAAAGGCTATTTTTAAAATTTGTTTTGTGTTAACACAAGTAGTTTATCTGGGACGAGGTGACTCCAGGGAGGGCCTGCGGGGAGCGGGGAGATGAGACACAGGAGAGAAGAAGTCGAGGCAGGGTTCGTTCATGACCGAGCCACTGCTTTGGGCAGCGGGGGCTTGATCCCACGGGGGACGCTTGGGGGCTGGTGCAGAATCTGCCTCAGACTCATTCCACCTGAGGGACTGGGGAGTTGGGGATGCACCCACAGCCCCATTGTCACTGGCTGAGCGCGGTGACGAGGGCATCCACTCCCCAGTACGCCTCGCCACGCACACTCCAGCAGTCAAAGAGAGAGAACGACTAACCCCGAGTAGCCACCAGTTCCCTAAAGAGCCTCGAAGACCCTTTGGGGTGGAGAGGGCCCGGGCATCGGTGCCAGGGCCAGTCCGGAGGGGAGATGGGTGAGGCTGAACGCTGCCCCCAGGCCCAGGACACAGACGTGCTGGTCGTGGGGAAGAGTTATTTCCATGTGCTCTGAGGGAAGGAAGGGCATGTATTATAGCAAGAGGGACTGAGGTTAGATCTTAGAAAGAACTTCCTGGCGACACCAGTGAAAAAAACATGTCAAAGACATCTAGAGCTGCTTCCCGCCACGCAGCTGATTGGCAGCCACACAGGAAATGCTGGAGCAGGGGGGAGTCCCTACAGCCGGGCCCACCGGCGAGCTGTCCCGTATCCGTGGGGCGCAGGGAGTGCCGGGAGGACAGACAGGAGGGCTCTGAGCGGCCCCACCTTGGTTGCTCCGGTGGCAGGAGAAGCACCGCGGAGCAGCCTGAGGTTGGGTGGAAGCAGCGGGAGGAGGCCCGTCCTCCCGTGCGGTCCGGGGCATCTCGTGCAGCCTAGTCCTGGAGGAGCTAGGTCCTCAGGCTGCCTGGCCCTCCGCACCAGGCACGGCCCGGCTCCCGGGGCCCCTGCTCCTCGTCTGTGAAAAACGGGGGGTTGGAGGCTGCCTAGATGACCTTGAGGCCCCTTCTGAGTCTGACCTTCTGCCACTGTCCGCTGTAGAGGCCACCCCACGGCCCTGGGTTCTGCTCGGCGCACCCATCCACGAGCACTGACGGAGCACGCGGTGCTTGCCCAGCGCCACGAGCAGAGACAGAAACAAAATAACACGCTGGCCCCGTCCTGCAGGAAGGGCCAGACGGGGGCTGAGAGCTCACTCTCTGAGCACGCACTCCGTGCTAAACACCTCCCCTCCTCACCGTGGCCGTAAGGCAGGCAGCCCCGTTGCAGAGCAGGGAACCGGGGCTGAGAGGAAAAGCAGCCTGCCCAAAGCCGCACAGGGGCAGGGCTCGGACCTGACCCCGTGCCGTTCGCCACGACACCGCTCCCCCTCTGTGAGATAGATGGCGACTCTCCAAGGACAGCTCCTGTGTTCTGGCTGATGAGCCGCGAAAGTAGCCATCACTCAGGAAGGCTTCATGGAGGAGGTGGCTCGGCCCTGGGCCTCCGGGGCGGGCAGAACACGGAGGCCGGTGGGGAGGGAGCAGCCTGAGGAAACTCAGTCCCTGGGTGGGCTGGACAGCGGCTGCTCCAGCCCAAGAGGTGTCCCCTTAGTGCAGGCAGGAGGGCTGCAGCCTGGCTCCCAGGGAGGAACAGAAGCTTCCCTGCACCCAGTAGGGCAAGAACCCTCCTCTTTACTGACCCAGGCCCCAAACTGGAGTCCACCCACCCCTGAGGGGCTTGTGTCCCGGCCAGGTCTATGGCATCCGTCCCTGTCCCCAGACCCATCTGGGCCATCAGAAGGTGGAGCTGGTTCAGGGTGAGGCGGCTTCCCCCGGCTTCCCCCGGCTTCCCGAGCCGGCGGCCAGGGAGCAAGACCACTGAAGAGTGTGACAGTTAACACTCGACTACAGCAGGGACCGTGAGCCAGGCACAGTCCTCAGAGTTTTAACTTAAGCCTCCAACATCCCTATGAGGTAGGTGCTGTTACTATGACCATTTTATAGATGGAGAAAGAGAGGTGTAGTGAGGCTAAATGACCTGCTAGGGGTCACGTCAGACAGCTAGTAAGAGGCAGAGCCCAGGGCTGGGTGCAGACAGCCTGCTCTTCCCACTCTGCCCCGCAGCTTCCAAGCGGAGGGACCTGAGCTGCGCCCCCCTGCCTGGGCCTCGCCCCTCCTCCTCGCCTGGGGCTCCGCCCTGCCGTGACAGCCCTCCCTAGACCCCCCAGCCAGTGCCTGTCACTAGAAAGGCCTGTCACCCACCGGAAAGGCCGGCCCAGCAGGCCCAGTTTCTCTGCCCCCCCCACTCCCACATGCACCCGCCCGCCCCCCCAACCGAGCACCGTTGCCTTTTTCCACAGTGATGGCTCCTGCGCCCAGGCCGGGGGGGGCACGGAGGACTCCATGGTGGCAGCGGAGGCGGTGGCAGCCGGCAGACCCAGTATCCATGCCCTGAAGGCTCAAGACCCGGAGCGGCAGGAGGAGGAGGAGCAGCCGGGGGCGGGGGGCGCCTCCCCGAGGGCCGGCGCCCCCCGCGTGGCCTCCCCCGGCCGGCAGCAGCCTGCCCTGGCGACAGCGCTCTGCTCCCACACCCCTGCTGCCTCCGATTACGAACTCTCCCTTGACCTAAAGAATAAACAGGTACCCAGGGCCTCCGAGGGGGGTGGCGAGGGTGGTGCAGAGGCCCCGCCTCTGGGAGCCGACCAGGGCACCAGGCATCTCCGCGTCTGGGCCCACCCTGCTTCAGGCACGGCCCCTTCGCCACAGTTGTCTCACACCGAGGACCTAATCTGCCCTCCCTGTGATCCAGTTCCTGTGGGGACCAGCCGCAGGCCACCGCCTAGCTCCCACGGGTGGCCTCCGTGTGACAGGGCGCAGGCCCCTGCAAGGCCAGGCCCCCCGGCAGTGTGTCCAGGGCCCTGTCCCTCCTGCAACGCGCAGGAAGCCTAAGCTGTCCCCCAGGCCCGGGCAGGCAGCCCGTCGTTCTACGGGGAAGCCCCAGCCCCACTGGCTGCTTAGAAGGCAGAGCCCAGCCTCACGCCCACCCAGGGGGCAAGCGCGAGCCCTAGGCGCGCACGGCCTGAGATGAGGGGCAAGGACAGTGGCTCCCGGAGGTGGCCTGAGGATTCCCAAGGTCAGTCGGGTCGGGGGAGTGTGACGCTCCTCTGTTAGGGAACCAACCCTTGGAGGGGCTCTAGGCCTCCGTCTTCCCTCCTGTGAAGCACAGGGAGACAGGCACGGTCGTGGGCCCCCGCCGAGCCCCCGGAGAGGCAATGCCTCGGTCTGTCCAGGCGGACAGCTAAGAGCCCCAAAGGAAGGCCTGTGAGCGCCGTGTCTGTGTGCGTGTGTGCGCTCAGAGACAGACTAGATGGCGTGACCCTGTCGGGAGAGAGCTTCGGACTTGGAGACACACACAGGAGATCCAATCCTTGCTCTTCTAATTAGCCCTGTGGCTTTGGGGGTACCAGTTAAGCACTCTGGGCATTGCTTTTCTCATCAGCAAAAATGAGAATTAGACCTTGGATCACCTCCAGGGTTCCTCCTGGCTCCAAAATGTGCAGGTTCGGAAGAACCGCTCTTCAGCCAGCGGCCGAGGTGTGTCTTAGGAAAGGAAGCTGGTCGGAAGCCCCTAAGACTGGGTCAGGCCGAACTAACCTCATTTTCCTCTTCGGGCTCCGACGCCAAGCTGGTGCCCCGGGCTGGGGCCAGCGGTAGGCAGTGCGTCTGCTCTCAGTAAAGTATTCGACCAAATCGCCAAAGATGTCCATGTAGACACGACAGGAACCTGTGGATTGGATGACAATATAGTCGGGTGGGCTGTTCCCGAACAGAATTGTCAAAAAATAAACTTTGATACGTGCCGATTCCTGGGGAGGTGAGTGGGGCGCAGTCCTTGGTCCTGTCCAGGGCAAGCACTTTGACCGGGCACAGAATAAAGGCATAAAAGTTACATTTCCCTTTATGTCATTTCTGTTGACATAAAGCTGAAGGAGAACAGCCAATACCTCAGTGATGGAATCCAAGATTTTTTAGAACTGTCATCGGGACAGAAACACGGTTTAAATGAAAAAGAAAGTCAAATGAAATAGGGAGAAATCTGAAGTTCTGCTCTCAGCTCTGAAAAGCCCAAAGAACTCGTGTAAGAGGAGGGGGTGTCCGTCGGTCGACTGTCAGCTCAGGACGAATGAACAGCAGGTTCCTGCCAGAGCAGGGCAGGGCCCACAGCAGCCGGCACGGGGTGGCTCTGCCCAGGGCAGGCAGCCGCCAGCAGCCCCACGCCGTGACCGGTCAGGGACTGTCTGGATCCTGGGCTTGGTTCTCGGGGCTTCTCTTAAGAGAAAGAATGAGAATTCTGAGGTTCCTGAAGAATAGGATGGGCTGGGGTCAGATGAAGAAATTGTAGACAGAAAAATAACTTTTAAATCTGGAAGCGCTGGCATATGAAAAAGGGATTAGATGTATTTTCTGTCATTCCAGACAAAAACAGTGGCGCCAGTGTACGGCAGCTGTAGGAGGGGAAGATTTTAGCTCAACTACAACAAGATGCCCTGCGTGAGGCAGCGGGTGCCCAGGAGGGGCGGGATGACGGTCCGTCCGGAGCACTGCAGTGGGATCAGGGGGCAGCTGGCCCAGGTGACGGAGTGCTCTCAACTCCAAAAGACTCTCTGCTCCCCAAGGACAAAGAACATCCCCTATGCCTCTCCCAGCATCTAGCAGAGTGTCCCGGGCATAGTAAGAGTTCACTGAGTGAATATTTCTTAATAATTACGACGTGCCAAGCAACAAGGGAGTGAGGTACCAAGAGGAAAACGCCGTGCTCCTTACCTGACCCCCAGAGAGACTATGGTTCCATTTAAGGAGTGTCCAGTTGGTAACACCAAAGACACCGTGTGCGTTGGCCTGGGCGGGACAGTGAGTCGGATCCTGCCTGGCTGGGTGGGGTGTGCAGAGCTCTGCGGGTTTTCCCTACACTGGCGTGACTCTAAGAGAGGAGTTTGCACTCAGGCTGGTGGGATGGAGTCGGGTGAGGTGAGGACTGGTAGAGGGTGTAGCAGGGGCCTCTTGCCCAGTGAGTCCAGCCGTGGGGAACAGCTGGGCCACCCTGGCCCGTGTATCTCTCTAGGCCAAGCACAGGCTAGGGGTGGGAGGAAGAGGGCAAAAAGGGTTTGAAAACATGGCTCACATTTACAAGAGATTGAGCTCTCTTCCTCTCTCTTCTGCCAGTGAGCTGTGTGACCCTGGGCAAGTTGCTTACCTTCTCTGGGCCTCAGCTGCCTCATGTATCCCTTTGGGGCTTTTCCACACTGTCCGCTCTGCCTCTATCTCTGCAGATCCTACTCCTCTCATCACTCCTGCCCTTTGCCTTCTCTGGCTTTAGGACTCACTTTGGGTGCTCCTTCCTCCTCTCTGGCAGCCTCTGCCCTCCCGAGGCTGTGTCCGGGCCCTTCTCCACAGCCCCAGGAGTTCCCTGGCACAGCCCTGCAGCCTGCGTCAGCTCTGCCCGTGTGCCCGGCTCCTCCTTGGAGGCAGGCGCGTGACTCGCTCATGGTCGCATCCGCCGCCTAGCGCGGCGCCTGGCGTGACGGAGACGCTCCGGGGAGGAGAAGGGGAGACGATAGCTCAGTGACATGCAGGGGGGGACAGGCACACAGCCTGCGGCCAGGATTGGCCCCGCACTGGTGCCAGCCGCACAGCACCCTGTGGCCCTTGGACTGGAGGAGTCCCGTGCAGCCATTGCCTCCCAGCCCACCTGCCCGCCAGGCCTCCTCTGTCGGCCCGTCCAGAGCCCGGGACCGCTTCCTCAGCCTGTCTCTCTCCACCTCCGCTCTTGCCCCAAGCCCCCCGATGCCGCCTCTTAACGGGCTGCCGAATCCGACCCTCTCTTGCCATCCCCACTGCCCCCGCCGAGGTCAGGGCATCCTCCCCCGCTTGCCTGCACCCCAGGGAGGCTTCCGGCTGCTTCCCCTGTTTCGAGCCTCTTCCAGCCTCACCCGCACATGGCAGCTGAGGCGTCTTCGTAAAGCGCAGCTCTGACAGTGCTGTCTGCTGCGTGAAAGCCTCCGATGGCTCCCAGGCTGTGCAGGGCAGCAGCTTCTCCAGGCCCCCCTGCCGCAGACCCAGCCCCCGTCAGGGTCCAGCCACTCCTGCCGCCAGTCCCTGGAGCCCGTTCTTGCCTCTGGGCCTTCCTCGCCGGCAGTGCCCCCGGCTGTCCCCAGTCCCGGGTGACTCCCGCTCACACTCCAGGGCTCAGCTCAGACCGGGGCCTGGGCATGTGCGTTTACTTAGTGCCCGTCGCCTGCTCTGTGCTGTCAGGGAGCTGTCCCGCTGTCCTGCTGTCTTGCTCCCTAGGGACTTTGTATCCTGCTGCTGAACAGACGTTTGGAGCCACCTTGGCTGCCCCAACAGCAGAGCTCTCTGGGCCGTCCAAGCCGGGGCCCGTGTGGCCGTGGTCAGTAGCATGTAGGCCCTGCTCCCAAGTCAGCGTCCTGGGCAGAAGCCACGTCCTCCTGGAGAGCAGCCCCTCCCAACGGACTCCCCCAGCCCCACGCCTCGGGGTCCAGCCTCACCACAGGGCCCCTCCCCGAGAAGTGGGGCCCACGTTTCCCAGTCCCTTCCCCTCTCCGGGCCTCAGTTTCCTCCTTGGTGCACCAAGGGGTTGCACCAGAGCGTCTCTGGGCTCCTTCCCGCTCCGAAGGTGAGATGTCCACCTCGGCACGGAGGGCACCGGGGAGGCAGGCTGCAGAGGGCGGCGGCGAAGGCCGCGTGCGCAGGGGTGGCCCGTGCGTCCATCTCTGTCCAGCTCAGAGAACAAATCGCACAGCTGCTCTCTCCTGGGCCCTGGGCCAGGCCTGGGGGCTCCACAGTGCAGATGACACAGTCCCCGTCCCCAAGGCGCCCACACTCCAGCGGTGGGCACTGCCACGCACGGTGCCGGCCGTCCTGCCTGAGCACCTGCCGCGCGGCGTCTCCCCAGGTCTGCAAGACGTCCCCGTGAGGTGGGCACCATTGCTATCCCCATTTCTGGAACTAGAAGACTGAGGCTTAGTGACACTAAGTAATTTCCCCGAGGACACAGCCCTGGGAAGCAGCACAGCCAAGACCTGGCCTCTGCAGCGGCGACTTTGTCCCAGCTGCCATCTGTGGATGACAGCAAGGGAAGCGGCGCACAGGGTCTGCGGGGCACCAGGCAGGGCAGGCGGCCTGACCTGGGGTTCAGAGCCGGTTCCTGGGCAGCTCCACCCGGGGGGTGTCTCATGCCCTCAGTGCTGGCTGAGCCATAGCACGTGCCTGGCCCTACCCAGCCACTGTCGGGAGAGGTCCTGGGCAGGGGTCAGTGCCCTGCGTGTTGAGCCCTGGCTGCGTTCCAGACAGCAGGCTGGGAGGTGGCACACAGAGCAGGCATGGCCCCTGCCCTCCGGGAGGCCACAGCCCTGCCCAGCACAGGCCTGCCTCTCCAGGGGGCCACCCCTAGGCACCCCCAAAGCTTCCCCCGCCCCAGGCTCTCTGCTCCTCCGCCTCACGCCCGGGCTTGTCCTGCTGAGTCCCGGAGTCTCCAAACGTGCAATGCCTCCGTGGTCTCACGCGAGAAATCTCGGGGCGGAGGAGATCTCGCCCACGCCTGAGAGCCCCCACACCCAGGCCCACGCTCCTCAGCACCCGCCAGCAGCTCTACCTCCCAGGCCCTGTCTCGGCCACCAGCACTCGGCAGCCCCAGCCCCTTGCTGCCACAGCAACCTGGAAAGAGAGAGCGTGTCTTCATCAACACTCAGGGCTCACTAGAGAGCGGAGCCCCCGGCCCGTCCTCCGCTGCTTCTGGCCGAGGACCTGGCGGATCGGTGTCTCGGGAGAGGCAAGGCCAGACCCCCCCGTGACTCCTGGGGTGTAGAAAGAAGGGAGCAGAGCTGCTCCTCAGATGGGCCCAGACCCCCCTCCCTGACTGTCCCCCCACGCACACCTGCCCAGGGGGTGCTGGCCGGGGTGGACGGAGCTAACCTGGGCCTCCGGTCAGTTCCCAGGTCCTGTGAGAATGGGGGAAGGATGGAGCACTTGGCTCCAAGCCCAGATCCAGAACAGAGTCTGCATGTTTCTTTCCCCTGCGGCACGAGAGAGTTCAGCTTAGTTCCGGTCCGCAAGCATCTGTTAAGGCCCGGCCCAGTCGCAGCACGAGGAAAGCAGAGACGCAGAACGACGTCTTGCCTGCGAGGGGCAGTCTGGGGCAAAGAGAGCTCTGAGCAGGGGTGCGGTGCGCCGGAGGCCGGGCTGCAGGGGCGGGAAGGAAGCAGCGGGCGCAGTGAGGTGGGTGGGCGGCACGGGCCGGGTCAGCAGGAGATGATCCTGCTGGACAATTGGACCGAACGGTGGCGAGCCCAGGACTGACTCGGTCACTTTTGGGGAGCAGCTCTCACGCCCGCGCCGCGCTGGGGGCTCTACCCAGGGCAGACGACAGCTAAGACTTACACGATGCTCCCAGTGACTGATGCTCTGCTGGAGCTGGGGGAGGGGAAGGGGGAGGGGCAGGTAAACACCACAGAGATTCGGGGAGGAAACTGTCAAATCAAAGTCTAAAGCAGCATTCTCCACTAGAGCCCGCGGCAGGAACACCCCGTCTGGTCGCGGATGGAGAAGCCACGTCTGAGATGTCCCCTTACGGGAGGGGACATTTCTACCTGGAGGAAGGGGACGAGGGTGGGCAGAGTGCTGCAGGCAGGGGAGAAGCTGAGCGACTACTCGAGCAGGGCCGCCGGGTGCAGCCGGGCAGAGTGGGGCCACCGGCGTGCGGTGCGGGCTTTGTCGGGGGAGGCTGCGAGGCGGGCCGGGTTTGCGAGGGCCGGAAAGCCGGGAGGAAGTGTTCACGCTTCTTCGGGGTGGTGGTTCTCAAGCAACGGAGGCTGCGTCACATCTGCTCAGGAGCGAGGACGCGGGAGGTGGTGAGGAGGCTGCCGGTGCGGCCAGACTGGGTAGACCGAGTGAGCCCCACGTGGGACGCTCTGCAGGAAGTTCAAGGACGACTGCGAAAGGAACTGGGGTGGGGAGCCACAGGGCCTGACAACGAGGACCCAGGGACAAAGGCGAGGTGGCCAGGCTGGGCGGCGCGGGGGCCAAGGCGTTGTTCGGCCAGTGAGGAAGTCACGGAGAGCTGCTTTGGGCAAAGCGGGAGAGACTACGGCTTCGCAGAGGCAGACGGGGTCCCGGGGCTGCCGGGAAGGCGGGTGCAGGATCTGGGCTAGGAACGGTGCCTGCAGGGTGGCTCACACCATCGTCACCGTCATCGCCGAGTAGCTTACACTTAGCAAGCACCTGCTCTGTTCCAGGTGCCACGTGAGTCCTCACGGCAGGGCGGCGTCGGCAGGGCGAGCCTCGCTCAGCAGACAGGAAAACCGAGAGCCAGAGATGTTACACGTGTCTGAGGCCGACCCGCAGGGAAGGGGCAGATCTGGGCCTGGCGTCTCCCTCGGCCGGTGCTGGCTCCTCAGTCCGTCCCGGTGGGCGGGTGGGGGACGAGGTCTCCGGGGGAGCAGGCAGGGCTGAGAAGGTGTCAGCCCGGGGACACGAGCACAGTCTCACGAGGCTCTGCCTGACCCGGTTCCCCCGAACGTAGTTGTTAATTATCACCCGTCAGGGGCTGCTCCGATGACTTCCAACACAGAAGTCGTGGGGAAAGATTGCACTGTGTGTGGAGACCGGAAGGTGACACGTGTGTGACTTGTGATTAGCATGGGTAGGGGTTTTGTGGCCAGAACATAGGATTAAGGAGCTCTAGGGAAACCGGAAAAGCAAGGTAGTTGGGTCACGAGTGCTGGGGAGAGTTGCAGGAAGGAGGGAGGAGTGAGGCTGGGCACGGGCGTGGGACCGGGTGAAGAGCACGGCGTTGCTGGCCTGGTTGGGTTGGGCCGGCGGGGGGGGGGGCCCCCCGGGTTCTTTGCGGCCGTTTTTTTGCTTTTACTTGGGCGGCCCCTTGCCGGGGGGTTGGGCCTTTTTCCTTTTGGGATGCTTTTCGGCCATTGGTTTTCTTCCCTTCCCCTTGTTGCGGCCGGCTCTTCGTAGCTTGAAGGACGTTTTTGGCCTTGGGTTTCCTTGGAGGGCCGACCGGGCGGGGTTGGGGGGGAGCGAGGTGCTGCCTGGGCCCCCTGGCAGTTTCTCGCACGCTCGAGGGAGGTGGCAGGCGGATATGTCGAGAGCAAGGAGGCAGCGAAGCGATCGGTTCCTCACTCTCTGCGCTGCCCTGCGCTGCCCTGCGCCTACGCCGAGGCCAAATGTCCGTTTTAGACGTCAGGGAACAGGCCAGAATCCAGCAGGGAGAATGAGCCCAGCTACCACCGTGGCTTCCTTCTAGCGTGGCTTCTGCAGGAGCAGAATGCGTCCAAGGCAGGTATCCGCATTCCTCACGGGGACGTGAGGTCATACCTGGGCCAAGTAGGCGGTGTCCACTTGCTGTGGTAGGCAGAGTTCCAAGGTGGCCCCCGCGATTCCTACCCCCAGTACACGTGTCCTGTATGAGCCCCTTCCCTGGAGTATGAGGGGACTAGCGAGTGTGGTGGGGTATCACGCCCATGATCAGGCTGCCGAACGGCTGACTTTGAGCCAATCAAAAGGAATATCGTCCTGGGTGGGTCTGGCCTAATCAGGTGAGCCCTTTAAAAGAAGCTGAAGCCCCAGAGAGGCACCCTCCTGCTGGCCGTGAGGGAGCACAGCACCAGGCTGTGGGAGGACCGTGCGGCAGGGACCAGCAGGCAGCCTCTAGTAACTGAGAGCCTCAGTGCGCAGCCCCGGCTGATGCCTTGATCTCAGCCCGGACCAGGCGAGCTGTGCCCACACCGATTCCCAGAACCAGGAGAAAATTAACTGGGGTTTTATGCTGCTAGTGTGTGGTCGTTTGTTAGGCAGCAGTAGATCACGAACACACGTGGTATGATTTTTAAGAGCACCATGAAAGCCCCACACAGGAGAACTGCGGCAGTAGGTGGAGCTTGCTCAGGGCCTGTGTCTTGTAAAATGCAAATGCGTCTGGCAGAAGTCCTGTGGGAAGCCTTACTGGCCACCCACACCCTACTCTGCATGTTTCCTGCTACCTCTGCAGAGCAGGGTCAGACAGACGGGGAGAGACAGCGTGACGTCCTGGGTCGGGGATGGAGAAGGGCACTGACTGGCACAGCCAGGAGAGTCGAAGACGAGCACCGAGAATGCCCCGTCTCTCCTGGGATTGTCCCTGGGGGTTGCAGCTGTGTCCACAAGGTCCCCAGGGCTACGAGGGTGCTGCTGCTCGTGGGGTCGGGGGTCACCGCTCGTACCCAGCAGGGAGGGAGGAGAGGACATCGCCAGGGCCGAGGGGGACGGTCATTGCAGCTGCAGCGTCTGCCGGGTCGAGTGGAGCAGAAAGCAAGCTGGAGTGCGGAATTGAGGGGTGAAACGCGGCCTTTCTACCTGTCCCCCTCCGCCCCACCACCCCTGGAGAACAGGGGAGTGAGGGTGCCGTTCTCGCCTGCGTTGTTCACCTCGGCCCGCTCTGGTTCCGGCTCAGGAGGGCCACACGTGCAGGTGGGGCGTGTGATGCAAATGGACGTCGCTTCAGGGCCAGGGACGCTTTCTCACTCCCCACACTTCTCCGAGGGCTGATCAGGGTCCACGGTGCCACCTGCTAAGCCCATCCCCTTAACACAGGCCGCGTCCCTTATTTAAACGCAGACGCCTCCAGGGGCAGGTTAGGTGTGATTGGTCATCCGCACCTTGCTAGTCCTTTCCTAGGAGGTTTAGATGCTGAGCAGAGGGAGGGCACAGCAACCTAGGAGGAGCGAGACCCCGGACAGGTGGGAACTGAGAGCAGGCGAGCGCCTGCACCCACGCTGGCCCCTGTCAGAAGGTTCCTGAGTCACGTCTGCCCACGTGACGCCCACCCCCCCCCCATCAGCCCGGCCCACCAAGCCCTGCTCCGGTCGGGCAGCTCCCACGGTGAGGACAGAGGTGACTCCAGCTGTGGAGCTCTTGCTCACGGCGGCCTGGAAGGACACCCACTCCTGACACACCGATCCATCTTTTTACAAACTCACGGTTACCGAGCACCTACCCTGTGCCGGCCCCAGGGCTGGGTCCTGGAGAGATGGTCAAACCCCAGGGATGTTCCCAAGGAAAGAAACGCCCCCCTGCGGTGACAGGAATGCGGAGGGGGCGGCAGGCCGGCAGGAGAGGCAGCACTATTTTTTTAGCATTTCTGTTTAATTTTTCATTGTTCGTTATTTTTAAATGTGCACGAAAGTGGGAACGATAGTGTGATAAACTCCCCTCTAGCCGTCGCCAAGCGCTAGTCACTCTCACGAATATTTTTATTGATATTCATATTGTGTCATCTAGCCCTCCCACGTTCTCTGATGGTGTTTTAACCCGAATTCAAGACACCACACATTTCACCCATAGATGCTTCCGTGCGCGTCTCTGACACCAGCGTTTCTTAGCGCAGCAGCGCGCGGCCCTTCCTCGCTCTCCTGCCCCTGGGGACATCGCTGCCAGGATGGAAGCCTCCACCCTCCACCTCTAGGGCTCTTGGGCGGTGACACACACGCCCCAGCTGCGCATTCCCGGCCCCCTGCGCCACCCCGCCCGTCCCCGGCTGAGCCCGTCCCCTCTCTGTCCTCCCTGCAGATTGAAATGCTAGAACACAAGTATGGGGGCCACCTGGTGTCCCGGCGCGCCGCCTGCACCATCCAAACCGCTTTCCGCCAGTACCAGCTCAGCAAGAACTTCGAGAAGATCCGCAACTCGCTCCTGGAGAGCCGCCTGCCCCGCCGCATCTCCCTGCGCAAGGCGCGCGCGCCCCCGGCCGAGGGCCCGGCCGCCCCCGAGCAGGCGCTCCCGGAGGGCTGCGGCCTGGCGGGGCTGCCGCTGGTGCGCCCGGCCGCCCTGCCGCCCGGGCTGGCGGGCGCGCTCACCGAGCTGGAGGACTCCTTCGCCGAGCAGGTGCAGTCGCTGGCCAAGTCCATCGACGACGCCCTCAGCACCTGGAGCCTGCAGGCCGTGTGCTCCCTGCAGGAGAGCGGCGCCTACCAGCTGCGCCAGGCCCTGCGCGCCGCCGCGGGGCCGCCCGACCCGGACGCCCAGGTGCGGGAGCCGGGGCCGGCGGAGGAGGCGGCGGAGGGCGCGCCCCAGGGCCTCGGCGGCACGCTCATGATGGCCTTCCGGGACGTCACGGTGCAGATCGCCAGCCAGAACATCTCCGTGTCCTCCGCGGCCCTGTCGGTGGCCAACTGCCTGGGCGCGCAGACGGCCCCGGGCCCCGCGGAGCCCGCGGCGGGCCGGGCGGAGCAGGGCGAGGCGCCGCCGGGGCAGGAGGCTCCGCGGGCCGCCGCCGAGG